AGCCACTTTGGGAAAATGCTTCAGCATCATGTAGAGTGACTGTGGACAGGGTGCAAGGATGCAAGGGGAATTGGTCGTGAAATGCAGGTAATATAAGAAGAAGGCTTAGGAAACACTTAATGTACCTTGTTCTTGCTGGAAATTAGGATCACAGAATTGGGCAGAAGGAAAGAGCTAGTAGGTTAAGATATTTTAATCTTTTAGGAGCAAGACTATGTTTTACTCATTTTTTATAACTCCCACAAGTCCCAGAGAAATGCCCTGCATGTCTGTGGTGTGAACGCAGAGTGAGCAAGTGAGAGAGTAAGGGAATGGAGTTTTCTCTTATTTTCAGTGTGGATAATGAAGTGAGAACCAGTCTAGAAAGACAAGGCTCATATTTCTAAATGTTCCTTAGTTTGAGTACTCCTGAGGCTGTCTCCTCCTTCCTTCCCCGCTTTTTCCTTCTCCCACAAACATCATCCTGTCAACTGCATGCCACGCATGTGCTGTGTGAGAGTTACATTGAGAGCTCTGCAAGGACAGGGACATCACAGCATTTGGTGTGGTGTTCCTTACATGTGACACTTAAAAATGTTGGCAACCGACTGTATAAACTCAGAGGATCCTTTTCTTTTTAACTCCAGGGGAGCTTGTGAACTTAGAGAAAGTTGAACTACAATTCTGCCTAAATGTTTGGCTTTTCTAGAGGAAAGGAGATGAAAAATAGCACAGAATCCCTGCCCTAAATAGTGTCATTGTCTACTTGGGGAGATAAAACCAAGGTCTGCAAAGCAGCACTGAACAATATAAGTCTTTATAAAACTTGTCCCTAAAGTGTGTGGTTCAAACTATTAATATAAATACTGTAAGAACACAAACATGAGGGAGCTCGATGAGCACAGACTCCATCAGAGTCCAGGTTCCCACAGGTGGGACTTGAGAGGGACTTTGTAGGACAGTGAGTGTTTTAGGGAGGAAGTCCATTGTCCAAGCTCCATGGGAGTCAGGGTTCACTGTAGTCAGGGTTCACTAGAGAGCAGGTCCACACTGCTGTCACCACAGGTGCCCAGGTGCCCAGACTTCAAGAAGCAGAGGTGTCTGCCCTAGAATTTCTGCCTGGAGAAGTTGATGCCACCAGCTGGCAAAGGGGACAGACCTTAGAGAAGTTTCTTGTATGGGGGGACTACAGCCTGGGGCCAAGGTTGTGTGCACATGTGCTGGGTGGGTATCATTTTGTTGGGGCAGGTTGGCTCCTTTTTCTCCCAGCAAGTAGGATGTTGGCTTCATGGTTTATTGACAAAAGTGGTGCTTTTGTGTTCATAAGCCATGGCAGCTAGTCTTCTCTTTCCTCCTTCTGTGCACAAGTGATTTATGCTTTCTTTATCCTGTACCTTGGTGTGGGTGTAAAAACAATGCCCTGCCATTAGCATTCTCTTCCTACTAGCAATGCTACTTTATCTGTCTCCTAGTCTCGTACAATATTGTGCTGGTGTGTGTTAATTCAACACTCCACATTTGTGTCAGCATACGGCTAAAACACTGAGTAGACATTTGGCTATAAAAAGCATTATAAGGCTCTGTGGGTAAGTATCTGGCTTCTGACAGATAGGGAAGTTCCAGCTGCTGCTACTGCAGCAGAGGTGCACAAATGCATGCATGGGTTTGTTAACCAGGTGTGCTGGGAGGCTGAGGTTTTTCCACCGGTTCTTATAATCTGCCAAGACGTTGATTCCTCTCAACCCTTGGGGTTTAGGGAAAAGTAGGGCCAGAGCTTTTTGGCTAGTGTGTTAATTTGTATCCTCCAAGAAGCAGATGCAAGAAAGAGATTAGTTATACAAAAGATTTATTGGGGGAAACTCCTTTGGGAGAAAATTGGGAGTGAACTTGAGGATACTGGGACAACTGTCACAGCTTGATGCAGTCCCAACCCCTGTGGAGAGAGGGAAGGAAGGAAGGCTGGGTAGGAAATCTTTAGGCTGTGGTTCAGTTCTAAGGAAGGTTTGGCAAGGCTGCTGGGGTATCCTTGAGTCATGGTTGCCCTGTAGAGGAGTCCCCATCTTCCTGCCTCAGTATCCCTGCTGTGCCCAGTCACTGGCTGAGAGAGACTCATGGGAAGCATGGCCTCAGTGTGAATGGGGTGATGAATTCCAGAGCCTAGAAGCTGAGACCGTTGGCCAACCACACTCCTCACAGTGGGAGATCTATCTAAGAGGAGTGATTTCATGGCTGTTACATCTGGTCACCTCTGGCTGAAGCAGCTTCCTCCGTTTACTTCGGTGTACTTCTTCTCAAAGACTGGGACCAGAGCTGGTGCGAAGAGCCAGGCAGGGCCATTTGGGTTTGGAGGACTTGTATAAATTTAACCAACTGAGTACTAGGCCCTCGCTATTATGACAAAGATTTGCTTTCCTTGCTTGGGAAGTATCAGTGGACACTTCATGTTTATTTCCTGTTATTTCATTGAAAACATTTTTCAAAAATAAGTGGCTCACCCACTGGGAACTTTAACTGGCATTAACATGGGTTCTTTCTATTCCAGCCCCTTGCAGATGGTATCTCGTGATTCCCTTCTTTGCATTCCACTCCAGTAGAAAGATCAGTAACGTTCATGGCACTTGCTAAATAACTTTTAGGAAATGAAGCCTTTCTAGGCAAAGAGTGTTGAAAAAGTGATGTTCTTATGCAAGCGACCTAAGCCACTTGGAGTGTAGATGATATATCTTCCCTTCTTTTTCCGGACCGCTTTTACTGTAGTCATTCGACAATGCATGAACGGTTGCCCACTGTTCCGTGGCGGATCAAGCACTCAGTGAAGGTTACATATCCATCACTTATCTTCTCTTTCTACAAAGGTTAGGATACAATATTTCTAACTGCTATGAAGGGGTGGGCCAAACACTGAAGGAGAAATAAGTAAGATAAGATATTCTTGAAAGAAATATATTTTCATTCTACTCTCTCACTCTAATTAGTTCTCTATATTGTTGCCAATAAAGTGATAGTCCTTATATGAAAATTTCATTGCTTTACTCTCCTGCCTAAAATCTTTCAATAGTTCTATATAACCATTGGGTTAAAAATAAAAACTTCTTAGCATGACAGAGAAGCCTCTTTATGACCTGGTCCCTGCCTATGATCTACAATCTAGAATTTTCTCTCTTTCTCTCCATTTATTCTCTTCTTACACCACCAGTGACTCCCTGAATGCACCAAATTTCTTAAATATCTCTATATTTATACATCATATTAATTAAGTTATCATTAGTGATTGCTAACACAGTAACACCAACATTCAGTGATTTTTAAAGAACAGAAGTTCATTTTTCACTCATGTAACAGCCCAGTGCAGGTATTCCTGGTTGGTGGGTGGCTTTCCTCCACCTAGTATCTCAGGGACCCAGGCTCTTTCAGCCCTGCGACTCTGTCTGCAGTTAGGGCCTTTGATTCCTCTCCATCCAGCTGATAGATGGGAAGCGAGAAGTACAAAAACTCACCTACTTCTTCAACGCTGTGGCCCAGAAGTGACACACACCACTCTGCTTATATTCCATTGGTGAGAACTGACCAGATGCAGGACAGCCAGGAAACATAGTCCCTGGCTGAGCAGTCACTTCCCACCAACAATTCTGCACAAGGGGAGAGCACAGATCCTGCTATCGTGTGCTGCCACCCAAATGCGCAGCCTGGATCCCAGTTCATTCTCTGATTGAGCTCATCCGGACAAATCTTATGTGACCTTTTAAGATTTATCTCAAGCTTTGCATTATTCAAAGGGCTTTGGAGTGTCTCCTCTCAATACCCATGTAACGCAGAGTGCTTCCCAGCTGTCACGGCCATGTGTCATGTTGTGTTATAATTGTTTGCTTATGAATCTTCACTTACACAAACAAGCCCCTGTAGGACTGGGACTATATTTTTACTTTAAATCTATAAATATCTAGCACAAAATATGTACCCAACATATGTTTTATTAAAGAAATGAAAGGTTATTAGATGACTGGCTTCATAAAAGGGAGTTAAAACTTTCAAAATTTGATGTTTTAAAGAATGAACTGTGGATTATTTATTCCAAAATATGTGCATCAATCCTAATTTTAAATGGAAGGTGTTTAGGCCTTTAAAGTTCCTTTGATGTTTGTTAATAAATCCATGTTAAAAGAGTAGTTATCAGATTACCATGAGTATCCTAACAGAGTTGATAAGCCTGAAAGTCAGGGATTGTCCCTTAGGGTCCATCCCTTCCTGGAAAGGAATGCTGTATTCTTAGAATACATTTGGGTGTAGGTAAGCAGAAATTTGATTCAAAATTGTTGGAAAATTAGAGACTGTGTTATATCACATAATGAGAAGTCTAGAATTAGGGTAGTTCCAGGGTAGGCTGGTTGATCCAGTAGCTCAGTGATGTCCCTCAGGACCCAGGTTCTGTCTGTATCTGGTGCTACCATCCTCAGTGTATTGACTATGTCTTTGGACTGGATCTCCTCATGGTCACAAGATACTTGCCAGCAAAACACAGGAAGAATGTATTGCATTGGTCATGTCTTGAGGGAGAGAACAAGAACACCTCTCCCTCTAATCATGAAATATAATTGCTTCCTTTTTATCTGAAGGGGCTAACTTAGATTTGTGCTGATCTGTGGACCAGAAACATTCCTAGAGGAATTCTGTCTCCTGATTTATTAGATTCCTCAGTGTCTATCACAGAGCAAAGCTTTTCTTGAAGTACTTTGGTGGGTAGGGGAAATGGATATCTCTTCTCTCCAAAATTTGTGAGTCCATTAGGAAGGAAAAATGCTAATATATGCCGAGTATTAAAGCAATAGTGCCCACTACAAATATTTTAATAATACATTCTGTTGGACTGGTATCTATGAAGAGTGGACAATTTTCTAAACCAAGCAATGACCCAGCCCTTTCCCCTACTACTTCTAAAGTTCCCAAATCATACATTTAAAGCATTCAGTAAGTAACATTTTAGATTGCCTTCCTCCAATACAATTATTTATTCTTTATTTTAGGTCTCATAATGGGATTAATTTTACGATATGCTACAGCGCCAACTGATATTGAAAGTGGAACTGTCTATGATTGTGGCAAACTGACCTTCAGTCCATCAACTCTGCTGGTTAATATCACTGATCAAGTTTATGAGTATAAATACAAGAGAGAAATAAGCCAGCACAACATCAGTCCTCACCAAGGCAATGCTATACTTGAAAAGGTAAGGATCCTATCTGGTCATATATATTTTGTCCAGTATAAAGAATTGCATCATATGTGAGCCTCTTATATATAATGCATTCACACACATATATATGTTCTTTTCAACACGACACTATTAGGGCCATTTAGTTGACTAAGGGGTCAATACCTTGAATATACTCTTATTATAAGCTCAATTTCCTTAGAAGTTGGGAAAGAAAGGTTTTTGATATAATTGTTTTGCAAGCCACAGTTATATTCAGTAAAAAAAAATAATAAAAATTTGCAGCTCTGCCTTTCCTAATACTTGTTTCAAGTTTTCACACATGTGTTTTAAGTGCCATTGTATATATTGCCAGCTGGCTACTCAGTTCAAATCCCCCTTAAGGCAAAGGGAAATGGAGGGAATGAAAAAATTTTCAGTTGCAAACCTTGTTCTAAGATGACTGGCTTTTGGCTGCCAACACAAAACACTGTCCACTTGGCTGTTTATAAATACACTGACATGCAGTCAATCTTAAGAGATCTTGACTCCATCCGTTTAGTTAGGGAATCTTAGGTAGAAAAAGAAAAATTGTGAAATGTTTCATCTTTTTAAAATGGTTTTATTATTGAACATAATAATAATAAATTGTGAATTGCTTCAATTTCTGGAAGTAAAATTTCCTTTTGCTCTCAGGACTCTGTGTCAGAAATCAGGTAAAGTTACCTTTTGTGGTACCTTGTTAATCCTGGATCAGTCTCTGGAATAAGTGAATTCTTGTTTAACAATACAAATGTGTGCTATGAAACAGGATCTTATGTGACTTATTTCAGATCTTTTTGGGTCAGCGCTGAGAATTTCCTGATATTATAGAAGTCTATTTTAACACTTTTATCCCATATGGACTTAGTTTTAAGGTTAAAATATATATATTTTTTTCCATTGTGAGAGGCTTAGAATAGTAGGGGAGGTACCTGGTCTGCGATTTTTCTTCATTCAAGTTGAGTAATTTATAGTAATTTTTTTTCCTATTTGCTTCCACTAGCACATTTCTAGATTAATTTCCTCATAGCACTCGGTGAGGGCTAAGGAAAGTCAAACTACTTATAATATTAGCCCAAATCACACTTAGTTAGAAAAGGGAATTGAAACACACAAAAAACAAATAATATATTTCTGAAATAAATAGGAGCAACTTCTAGATCTTCAGCTGTTTTGGATAATCTCTTCCATGTTTCTTTTTGTTCACATGATAACAGAAAATTATCTATCCTGAAATAAACAAATTTTAAAACATCACCTTTTTAGCAACAAAAGATTTTAATTAAAAAAAGTTTTTCACTTTTAGCTTTGGTTAGTACCTAGACATAAATTAAGTATTTTCTCTTCACTCTCCTAGCCTTTTTTATCTGCATTTCTGCATTGTACTATTTCTTCAAACAGGTTGACCCCCCCCAAAGATATTAATAATTATACCTGTTGCCATAGCAATTATATTCTTTAACAGGCTTGCCAATAGATGCCTGATCAGAAATTTTATTATTGAATTATTGACATATTTATGCCTTTATCGGCAGCCAAAGTCAAATGTTAGCTTTCGAAAAACTAAGGCAAGAGACAGAGAAAATGTAAAAGTTGTTGGGCCCTCTTGTTTTTTTCAGTGGGTACATTAAGAGTTCTGCACATAAAATGTTCAATTGACCTCGAATGGCTCAAGAATTTTCTGGATAAACTTCTAAATCAAGTGACCCATTAAGTCACAATCAGCATTTGTTGTTTCAAGCATCCAGGGTTGGCAACAGGTGATTTAGCACCCAGAGTAAGTCCTTCCCTCATTGCTGGTGAAGAAAGGGGCATCTACTGGTACACTTACTATATCAGATGACTTTCAGGGGAAAGGATCCTGTTTATAAATGGACAGAGTATGTCTTAATGCACACTTGTTCCTTATGTGCCAATGTTGGGGGACCCTACTTGGTCTGCAAAACTGAACAACCCATTGCCTGGCTTCCTTACTGGAAATTCTCCATTGCATGCAACTATTCATATCAATCAATTAATCAATAAATCTGTGTGTATGGTAGATGCAAAAGGATTCCAAAGAACATTCCATCCATTGGAAGGCTTATAAAGAGGTTAACATAGAGTAATGGTTAAAGAAATTCAGGATCCAACAGATTTGCCATCCACCCTTTATAAGTTCCTTAAATGTCCCCAATCCCCAACTTTTTATTTGTGAAGTAGGGAGATTAAAACCTATTTTGTAGGATTGTTTTAATGTTTAAGTGAGATGACGTATATAAAGAGCATGGCTAACGTGGGGCCTTTGCATTGCATTGTTATCCCTGCCACTGCACTACCATGAGTACTATTGCCACTGCACTAGCGCTGCCGTGATATTGCCCCTTCTACCACCTCTGACAATGACGCTACCATTGCTACTACTGATAATGTTTGAATGATTACTGTATGCCAGGAATTAGTAAAATGTGTGTTTTATTGATTTATTTAACATTCATTTGGGGAGATAAGACCAATGTATAATATACACCTGTATATAATTCAGTTCTAAATTGTATCATATGGATTATGAGGACTATAAAAAATTTTACAGATTTGTTGTCACAGACACTTGAGCTTGTTTAGGAGGCTTCCTGGAGGAGGTGGCACTTGAGAAGGGCTTTGAAGGGTGGATGTGGTTTGGATAGGCAGTACGAATTGAGCTCAGAAAGGTCATTATGTCAGGGTAGGTTGGAAGGTGAGACTAAAGTGTGTGGTTACCAGATAAGAAGGGAAGAGGGCTTCTTGGAGAGTCTAGATGCTTTGGACGAACAGAATTTTCTTGATTTTTAGAAGCAATGTGAAGAGAAGAGTCTGAGATTCTAGGAATTCATGCCTGGATGGAAGAATATGGGGGGTGCCAGGATAAAAGTAAAGAAGGCAAAGAAGATTTGAGGAAGGGGGTGGGTGGAAATGACCCTGCATCTGCATATAGAGATCACCTAATTTAGAGCAAGAAAAACACCTGACCTCATTAAGTTGAATCTTATCGTTTTATAGATGAGCAAAACAAAAACTTAAGCACTAAAATTAATTTAAGTTGGTGGGTCCCAAACTGTCTGCACTTTGGAATCATTTGGAAGCCTCAAAATATTTTGATGCCTCTGTTCCACCCTTGGAGTTTATGATTTGACTAGTTTAGGGAGTAGCTTGAGCATTAGAATTTTTAGACACTCACCAAGGGGATTCTAATGGGCAGACAAGTTCAGGATTTAAGCCCCACTTTGAGTTCAGGTGAAAATGATGAGGAGAGAGATGCTAATTTTGTGCTTCTTTCCCTCACCCCCACTGCTGCCGATCTACCAGCCCCTTTCATCTTCTTCCTTCAACATGCTGAGAACATTCTTGCTTTAGGACCTCTGCACATGTCATTGCTTTTACCTAAAATGGTTTACTTCTGCCCTTCGAATATCAGGTTCCCTACTATCCCATTCAAATCTTGGCTTGAAATACTGCCTCTTTGGTTCCCTTCTGCAGGGAGAACTAACCTCTGCTCTGTCTGTGGAGTAGACTTCCATAGTTTCTGAATAAATCTCGCTTTCACTAAAAAAAAAAGAAAGAAAGAAAAAAATGCCTCTGTCGAGAAGCTTGCCCCTGCAATTTTCTCACCCTATATCCTCTTGCTCTCTCCTCTGTCTCTCTCATTTCACAGTACTTAGTACCATCTGAAAGTATATTTGTATTTTCTTGCTTTTTGTTTATTATCATGCTAACATTGTTTACTGACTACTAGACTGCAAACTTCACAAAGGCAGGGACCATGCCTCTTTTACTGATGCATTCATCCCCAAAGCCTTTCATGGTACCCTATGCCTAATAGCTACTAAATAAATAGTTGGTGCTCTGCCAAGCTCTCAGACTCATTCAACTATTCATTCATTCATTCACTTACAGCTAGAGAAATATGCAGTATTTGAAAATTACCATCTTGGAATTGGTAGAATTGTAGTGTCCTGGATGCTTAATGCTTGAAGAAACCTAAGTTATTCTCCAATCTTAGTTGTATATATACAGGTAAATTAATGTCCAGATAAATTACATAGTAGGTCCAGGGACCTACCACTGGTAAGAGCAGAGATGGAACTGAGACTTATAGCATGTGACCCTGAGTCCTGAGTGGTTTCTTGTACCCCACACTACAGGACAGGCTCTCTGAGAAGTTCCACTGACAGAGAAGGGCAGAGTGCCTGGGGCTGAGACCTAGGGAATTTCGCAGTTGGACTGGCAGAAGATGGCCGGTGCTGGAAAGAGTGTAGAACCGTCAGAGTTCCAGAAGAGGTCTAGCTCAGCAGAATCACAGAAGCCATTAGTGGGGCCCCATTGAGTACTTTTCTTTCATGGTACATAAAGGGAGTATTTGGCCTTAATTTCTAAACGTTACAGGATTTGAAAATGAGCTTTACTCTTAGTTAGAAGAATGTAGTTTAGAGGCTTGAATGACATTACTGACTTCAGGATTAGGAGAGGCTGGAATGAATTCCTGTGCTGCATAATTGCCTCTTGGAAGATTTTATAACAGCACGTGTATTTCTGGGACATTTAGGCATTGACGTGCTTGGAAACAGAACAGGCTTGATGACTATATGCGTTCCTTCCAATAAAAAGGCATAAAACTGGAAAATATAAGAGCTGTTGGCATTTATATAAGCAGCAATATACTGTGATTTTATGCCATGTGTAAACACACAAAATTTTCAGGAAATGTCATATGGCAGACTTGTGTTTCTCATGCTCAACACAGGTAAAAGCGTAGAAAAGTAAAAAATATTTTCACTTACAGATTGGTGAAAACAGTACTCTTCTATACATTATGAACAGATGATGAACTCAAAACAACCTTCTGAGAGGATAAAACTAGACCATGTCACTCTGTATCTATCCAGGCTACGTTTCCAGTACCATTTGTCAAATTATTCTGTAGATCCAAGACATCCTTAACTAGTTTTAATCCTTTGAGGCCTATATTCTGTTATACAATGGCTTTACAAATGTTAATTTGTTACATAATATTTAGGAATATCAAAGTGTTTATAAGCATTTCTGAATTTCACATCAATAGGAAGTTTAAAACTTGTTTTTGAAAAGCAGATGATAAAAGAACTTTATTCCTTCTGCTTTCACTCATTTATTCCTTCAACACAAGTAAACTGAGTAAGTACCATCAATTTCAATACTGAAATAAGATATGATCATAAGGAGTTTACTAGTAAATCAGAGAATAGCATAGCATGTGAATAAATGAATAGGTAACACTAAAGGCGGGTATCAAAGGAGTAGCACAAAAACCACAGGCACTTAGAGGAGGACAATATTGTCTCTTGTCAGAGGTTATAGGAAGGATTTCAAAGAGGGCAGTTGATCGACTCTGGTGGTAGTGGTATGTGTGGTGTGTGGAGGTGGAGAGGATTCCAGGCAGAGGGAAAAACGTAATATAGAAGTGGGAAAAGGGATGAAGAGTATTCCAGGAAAGAAAAACATTTCCAAATATTGTTGAAGTATGGAAGACCAGTAAAACATAGGGCTGGAAATGAAGGCAGATCTTGACTGCGGAAGACTTTAAGTGCCAGGTTGAGTAATGTCCGCTCTGTTTGTAGTCAGTGGAAGAGTGTAATGTTGACGAAAGCAAAGGTGTAGTTGGGTTGTCATGCACAGTGTGGAGAGTGAAAGCAAAGAGACAGATGAATCCTGAACTTGGATGGTAATCAAAGGGCAGATGGAAGAAAAACAAGGAAGGAAGGCAACACAGGGCTTGGCTCAGATGGGCAAGAGGAGGAAGAGGGAAAACAGCTTGCTTTGCTACTGTGGTCTCGTTCACAGAAGGGTGGTAGGGCAGAAATAGGGAAGTTAGAAGTTAGAAGGAGTTGGTTTGCAACAGAAAAATCACAAGTATGGTTCAAAACTGATGAATGAATCAATCTATTTCTTCATTAATTTATACATCATTTATTTAGTACATTATGTGTTTACAATATTGAATTGGGAGGGTCAGAGGGCCATTTGATTGGAAAAGTCCCAGATCCAGTAAATTTTCAAAAAGTTGTCAACACAGTTAAATTTATACTTCCTATCACTCATAAGTCAGTTGACCGTAATGTAAAAAGTCAGAGGAAACTACCCAGTGAAAATTTTGCCAAGTCTTCACTTCCTGTGTGACAAGTGACACTATCACTTGGTCAAGGAAGTTATTTTGAAGTAAGTTACACTGCTGAGCAATTTTTCCTGTCTATTGTTTCAATAAAGATAATTGCCAAGCTGCAAATAAGGCATCAGAGCTCGTATCAATTGTGTTGATAATCCTGTATATTTTGGAACTATTTTAAGGAAGCCCTTATAGAAACAGCTAATCATACGACTTTTTAAAGTAATTTTGGTTATGCAGCATTAAATAAACAAAGTCTCTTCATTTTTGTCTCACTGTCCAACTTTTCCTAATGGTGATTTTGACTTTTTCTGGTTCAGAGTTTTAATTCTCATATATTTATTTGTAAACTATTTTTCACTTTCCAGTCTTTTCTTTTACTTGATTATTCTAGCTACAGAGTCTAGAGGCAGCGCTCTCCCAGTAACAGGAACAGCTTGACCAGAGAGAGTCACTGGACCTCAAGATAAATATGTGCAATTAACACTGGGACATTCTTGGGGAGGATAAAGAAAATGCCTGGAAAGAAATCTCCTTTAAAACTTTCCTGGACACACTGAGAGAAACAAAGCATCATAATGATATATCAGCATTTGGGGTTTGGAGAAGCATTTGTAGGATGCTGTTAATTATTCCTCCCTTCTACAGAGATCAGGGCTTCATAATTTTTGATTCTCTAGCGTAAGTCTTGGCTCTTAGCATGTGAGATAGTCTCAGAGAATCTCAAGCTTGGCAGTAAATAGGACGAGGCTGTTTGAGAAGACTTAGCTGCTTTTATCCTAAACCTTAGTTAAGAGATCACTTGTTAAAAAAGAAACTAAAAATTTGTTTTAGCTGTTTTCTTCTACTTTTACTTTCACAGAAAGTTGGCCTGTGAGATGACCTCAGAAATGTATCTGAAGACTCTAAATATTCCATTAGGTTTTAATTTAGTCACTGAACAACACATATTTTCTTCATTCATTTAATCATTCAAAAAATATTTATTTATTGAGTGCTCCCTATATGCCAGGCACTTGTTTTGGGTGCCATGACTATGGCACTGAGCAAAACAAAGTCACTATCTTCATGGAACTTGGGGAGAGAGAGACAAAAGATAGTTCAACACAAGCGTTTGTACTCTAATGTCAAGTGGAGACAAGTGTTATGAAGAAAAGTTAGTGAAATTAGAAGACAGAGAGCCAAGGGTATTGCGATGTGTCCTGTAGAGAAGGCCTCACTGAGGAGGTGAAACTGGAGCTGAGACCCACGTGAAGTGGGGAGTGAGCCATGCAGAAATCTGGAAGAAGAGAATTTCTCTGAGATGACAAAACTAAATAACATTAGCTGCCTGCTGCTTTCTGGAAGTCATTTTTTCTCTTGCCAGCTCTTTGCCGTCGTATTCATTAATAGTCCCAGATTGTTTTATCTTAGACTTATACACAAAGTCTTAGAAAAATATTTGTTGTGGTAGAGAAGGGTGGAGAAAAAGAGAGAGGTCAACATGGAATGGGGAGTGAAAACCCAGAAACACGGGAACACTCTGCCCCAAGGAGCAGGGGTGCTGTGAGAGCACCAGGCCCACTTTTGCAGGCTTGCCTTCTGAGTGCACAGTGCGAACACTGGTTTCCAAACTTTTGATTATGCACTCCATCAGTAAAATGCCCTTGAGCATATACACCTAATATATACCTATTTATTTACAAATTAGATGTAAGTACTACTGTATCAACATATTATATGTATATTATAAAGCAGATATCAAACTAGAATTTTTAAAAGGATGAGATAAAGTGAAATATTATAAAAGTTTCAGTATTTTCTTTACACATCCAAATTCATCTTGTCCAATTGCTAGGATATTGACACCTCACCATAGACCCCCATTATAATCTTATTCAAATTTAATTTTTATCTTAATTATTTTTAATAACTTTTAAAAAAAATTCCACTCTTTTCTGAAATCTTAAAATACTATATTCTGAGTCTCACAGCACCAATATGTGCATAGGGTCTTGGCCTGATGGAGGGATGTCCTTAAGGGCTCATTAGCTTGTGGGAACACTTGTCACCATCCCAATGATCCCACACTGCTACACTCCAGTAGCCAGAGTGTTGTTGTTGTTGTTGTTTTCTTGCTTCATAAGTCTACAGTCTTCATAGCTCCACTTGTCATTTCCAGTTAATATTTATATCTATGATGTTTTGATTAATGTCTATCTCTCTACTAGACTGGAGATTCTAGGCGGGCAGGGACTAGATCTGTTTTGAGGTCACATTGTATTCCAGGGTGCCTGGTGCATGGTGGATGCTCTGTGAATCTTGATAAGTGAATGAATGATGTAACCAGGTATCTGTCATTCTCGGCCTGTCTGCAGCTACTTCTCATTGCTTCTCTGCCCTGTCTTAATTGCTGGCTATTTTATACTCAAATTTGTATCACAGATTTCTTCTTAAGGTGAAGTACATGGGCTCTGTGATGGTTGTTTACTACTCAGAGGGCTGAACTGCTAGAAGTTTCATTTCCAAACAATTGGGTAGGGATGAAGGGAGGCAGAGAGAGATGCAAGGCAGGGAGAGAGACAGAGAGAGAGAGAGAGAGAGAGAGAGAGAGAGAGAAAAGAAGGCCGAGCACAGGACAGAACACAGAAAGGGAGCAGGAGGGAAAAAGAGAGATTTCGCATTAGACATAAGTAGATAAAACAAAATGGATCTTTTAATTCTTTTTCCCTTTGCTTTGTTCCTTCTAAAATATTAAACTGTGGCAGGAGTGCACATTTATCATTTCTGGCCTCCAGCAAATAGTTCTATAAGGTTCCATCCAAGTGCGTTTCCCCATTCTCTGCCAAGGTCGTTGAGAGCCCCTCATTAGCAGCTTAGACAGCCTGAGGTAGGATCCACGTATCATACGACTGGGCACAGGAGGGGTCGGAACCTAAGGAAGCTGTATGTTTGACTGCGCTGTCTTCTGTTGCCATTTAAGCTTGTCTTGAGTTAGGGGTTTCCCAGCTGCTCCTCCCAGATCCATTTATAATTAGAAGACTAGTGGGCACTGATTACCAAGTTCTATCCCAGGCTGGGGTGTGTGAAGCAATAATGTCCTACAAATTCAGGTGATCCTCACTTTTCTCTCTATTGTGTAATGGGTCTCCGGAGAAGCTGTGGACCCTGAGGTGGAATTTAATAAGCAGGATGTTTACTATGTGCCTGTGATGGCACACCTATGAGTAGAAGAGGAAGGAACCCTGGGTGGACGGAGGGAGAAGTTAAGCTGTGATGCAGGCCCAGCAATTTGGCTGACTCCGTGGGAAGCTCTGGAGCTAGAACGAGCCTTCAGAGTCATCCTCAGTTGCAGTAAGACAGCCAGGCCTCTAAAATCCCAAATTGTTCTATCTTTGGATGTGGGTTCCTGAGGGACTGACAGCACTCCTAGCCACAGGTTAACAAGGCCTTCATCGAAGGGAAATTTGGGTGGCACATTACATTTTCCAACACACTGACCCTCCGTGGGCTGGGAAGCTTTATATTGATCTTGTGCCCAAGAACAGTACCCAGATGATAAGTTAACATATAGCTGGTGTGAAATTACCACAGCGGAGTGCTGGAGCAGGCTTATCGCAGCTCTTTAGAGCTGATTATTTATTAAATATTCAGGTATTTCACAAACCCATTATTAAACCACTGGAAGTTTGAAATGGGCCACAGCAGGAATATTTACACCACAGAAATTGGCAAATGCTACAAATCAGGGCTGTGAGATTTTGTTTTTGTTTTCCTCCAAAGAGATACTTTATCAGCACACCACTGGTAATTGCATTATACCTACATGATTGCATTTTTAGGAGAATTGGAAATATCCAAACACTTCATTTTTTCACCTTCCCAAAAAGTCCTTTCCCACATGATGGTTTTCTTGAAATTCTACTGTTAGAACTTAAACTCTGACTGCCTCTAAGATGACATAGGAAAGTGCATAATGTTTTACAGTTAGAACTAGGATGGAATCCCATTTCTGCCACTTTTAGCACTGAGACCTTTGGTGAATTAATTTCTCTGAGCACATTTTTCCTCTTCTATAAAACAGGGATCAGTGAAACCTACTTTAGAGAGTTGTTTTTCAGAACTAAAGAGAAAAGTTATATGTAATGTTAAACAAGCTGTAAATATTAGTCTGCTTCCTTTTCCCCTCCCGTAACATCTGCCCTTGATGGGCAAGGATTTCCACTTCTCAGTACGAAGTCTGAGATGAGCAGGACGGAGAAGGTTTGGTGTTGTTTTTTATTGCACCACCTTTTCAGGTGAATACACCACTTAAAAAATGCATCACTTTAATTTTAAATCATACTTTCTGCTGATTTCAGCACACTCGCCTCCTGCTCACCCCAACCCCCTCAAGCATGCCTGTTGAGACTGTGGTCCTTGCTGACTCAGCCCTTTCCCGCCCAGCGTCTCCAGTCCAGTTGCTCCCTGGTGGGGTCTTGTGATGGGGAAGCTGCACACATGCTTCAAAGCTAGGGCCTGATAAAGATAATGCAAACTCCAAAAAATTGTAAGGCAAAGAAAGAAACTCTGTGGGAGTCAGCTGCTCCTGAACATTGTGAGGTGATAGCGCAGTTTATTTGCGTGTAATATAAAGATTAGCCAAGGTTAAGATCAATTCCAGACTGGGGAAAAAGAAATCACTCTTGATGCACAGGGTTTCAGTTGTGTTTGATGCCTGGGTCCTGAGGAATGAAAAGCTCTTGGTGAGATGGAGGACCAGGCCCTTTTCACACCCACCTGTCATTTTCTTTTCTCCTGCTGACATCATCTCAGTCTTAGAGTGGAGTTGCACTGTTGTGTCAATACCACAGCTAGTGAGCAGTGGTAGGGCAACCAACACATGAAGGGCAGGCCCTCAAGGGAGCAGCAGCCACCAATCCAAGTGTGCAGTCACTTAAACGGCCAGGAGTCTGGGCATCTAGGATCGGGAGTAGGAAGACATATCATTTGTTCTATAAACTGGGATTCTGCAATGTGTGTTGGGGGGTTCTATAAATAGGCCAAGACAACAGGCTTTACCTAGAACTGTTCTATTCATCCCAGGATGTATGGCCATCTTAGAAGAGAGTCACAGAGATAACAGAGGTGAGTTAATGCATGAATAATCTTATATAAAACATAGGACACTCTCTAGCCATTGGTGATTTGGTGCCATGGCAATGATCTGGAAAACCTGGATGTCCTTTATGTACTTGTAGCCAATAAAAACAAATTCAGCAGTCAAATGGGTGACCTGAACCCACCCATGGGGTGACAGATGGGATATTTTAGTTAAGAGGCCAGTCCTTGGAGCCATGTAACTTGGTTGAAATGCCACATATCAGCTGTGTGATCTTGGGTAAGATAATTAACTGTTCTGTGCTTCAATTTTCCCATTTGTAAATGGGATATTCCTAACTACTTTGTAGGGCCGTTGTGAATTACAAATGAAAAAATACATGCAAAGCATTTAGACTAGTACCTGGCTCATAGTAAGTGCTCAAAGTGTATTAACTGTTAGTCTTGTTATCATCATTGCTATGCAATAGACTTGCAATTAGAAGCTATAGTTTGAGTTCAGGCCTTGCTACAATAGTTACAAAGTATGTGACTTTGGGCAAGTCACTTAACTCTCTGAGCCTTGGTTCCACCTCTGTAAAAATGAGGTGTTCATAATACTTAACTCAAAGCACCGTTGCAAAGAAAAAAACTGAGATATTATATATGAAGGAAAATGTAAAACTCTAACAGCCTTATGGCAATATCAGTTATTTTTATTGTTAATTACTACTATAATTAATTGGCAAATGGTTAATGTACCAGGTTATAAATGATGAAGACAGATCCTGAACTTCAGTCCTGCCCAAATTATAATAATGATAGTGCATTTCCTTCTCTATGGTAGTTTGTTATTTACAAAGGCCTTTTCTATTTTGTTGTCCATTCAATCTCATCATTATTCCATGAAACAAACAGGTACCACCCATGCTGCAGAGGAGGAATCTGAGGTTCTGAAAACTAAGTGACTTGATCGAGAGTGATTTGTAGCAGAATTGGGATTAAGACAAGGCCTTCTGACTCTGTGTTCAATGTTCTTTACATAACTCCATGCTGTCAAATTAAATATTTAGAATTATATAATTGTTTTGATCTTAATTTGCCACTTAATTTTTTTAATTCATATTTTTTTTCTATTTCAGGGGTACAAATATTTTTGGTTACATATATTACTTTTATAATGCTTGAGTCATGGCTATAAGTGTGCCTGTCACCCAGATAGTGTTCATTATACCCATTAGGTAGGTTTTCGCTCATCCCCTCCTCCCACCTTCCCACTGCTTGATTTCCACTGAGTTTTACTTCCCTCTATGCGTATATGTGCTCATCGGTTAGCTCCAATTTAATAGTGAGTATTTTTGATGTTTGTTTTTCCATTCTTTAGATACTTCACTTAGGATAATGGTCTCCAGTTCCATCCAAATTGTTGCAAAAGGCATTAAGTCACCCTTCCTCATGGCTAAGTAGTATTCCATGGTATACATATACCATATTTTGTTAATCCACTTATGAATTCATGGGCACTTGGGTTGATTTCACATCTTTGCAATTGTGAACTGTGATGCAATAAACATGCAAATGCAGGTGTTTTTTTGATAAAATGATTTCTTTTCCTTTGGATAAATACCCAGTAGTGAGATTGCTGGATCAAATGGTAGGTCTAGTTTTATTTAATAGTTCTTTGAGGTATAGCCATACTGTTTTCCATAGAGGTTGTACTAATTTGCAGCCACACCAACAGAGTATAAGCATTCCTTTCTCTCTGCATCCACACCAGCATCTATTATTTTTGGACTTTTTAATAAAAGCCATTCTAACAGGGGTAAGGTGATATCTCATTGTGGTTTTAATTTGCATTTCCCTGATGATTAGTGATGTTGAGTATTTTTTCATATGTTTATTGTCCATTTGTCTATCTTCTTTGGAAAACTTCTGTTTATATCTTTTGCCCAATTTTGATGGGGCCGTTTGATTTTTTTCTTACTGATTTGCTTGAGTTCTTTGTAGATTCTGGTTATTAGCCTTTTATCAGATATATAGCTTGTGAATATTTTCTCCCATTCTGTACGTTGTCTATTTGCTCTTGATTATTTCCTTGGCTATACAGAAGCTTTTTAATTGAATCAAGTCCGGTTTATTTATTTTTGTTGTTGCTGTGATTGCCATTGGGGTCTTCTTCATAAATTCTTTGCCTAGGCCGATGAATATAAGAGTTTTTCCAACATTTTCTTATAGAATTCCTATGATTTAATGCCTTAAATTTAAGTCATTTATCCATCTTGAATTAATTTTTGTGCATGGTGAGAGATATGGATCCTGTTTCATTCTTCTGCGCGTGGCTATCCAATTTTCCCAGC